GGCTGCGTGGCGGCAGGGCGGTCCCGGGTCTGAGACTCGGTCCTCGCGGTCCGCCCGGGACCCAGATCCCCGATGTATCCGAGGCTTGAAGGCGGAGGGTGGGCCTGGGTGCCCCGCATGCTGTAGAGGCGGCTTCCAGGCAGGGCAGGCAGCCGCAGCCGCCCTCTTCCCACGCTGGGCCTGTCTGCCAGATCCCGCGGAGAATCTCCCAAGAGTTCACGCACCGGCCTCCCCGCTGGCCTCATCTGGGGGAGCCACTGTGGACCCGGGAAGGACCCGCGGAGATGGGCCAGGGGTCTAGACAGCTCTACAGAGGCCCAGAAACTTTTCACTCACCCCTGCCTGAAGATCTGGGGCAAAATGATTTAGAATCCCCCCTTCCCCTATCAGGGATCCCTGCTGGCAGAGCTGGGTGACCCAGGGAGGTCTGGGGTCCTTGCTGAATCTGAGAAGAGAAAGGTCCATCCACTTCCCACTTTGGGCATGAGTCAGTCTCTCATTCATGACCTCAGTCACCCTAAGGGGAAGTGACCGGGAGGAATTCTGGCTTCCAGGGGAAAGGGAGACTTGACTGTGAGGTTGTGAGACCCCTCCCCACAAGACGACACAAAGCCTAGGGTCAGGACAGCCTCAGGCCTGTTCCTCAAGTTTCCCAGGGCCCTGCCTTGCCCACGGAGAAGGAAAAGGAGCGGGCACAGCCCTGGAGCCTGGCTAGTCTGAGTATAGAGGAGTGGAGGAGGTGACTCAGGCCCTGTTCAAGGGGGTGCCTGTCTAGGGGAGACAGGATCCTGGCCCAGCCTTGATGTCCTCGAGTCTGGAGGGCCAGAAGAGAGGACTCAGACCCTGCCCTTGGGGGGCCCCAGCCTAAGGGACAGAAGAGGAGAGAACCCAGGCCCTGCCCTTGGCGGCTCTCAGTCTGGAAGAAGCAGAGGAGATGACCTGAAACCATCTGACGGCCATCCCTTGCTCCCACACAGGCTCATCTTGTCTTTGGGGGCCTGTGTCAGAGGCACAGAGAAGCACCTTCCCGCACCCTACTGCCACCTCTTGCCGTGGGGGCTGGGCCAAGCCGGCTGGGCTTTCAGAGACTTCTCTCCAGTTCTTGGGAGGGGGTGGGCACCAGGTGGAGCATGGAATTATGGAGTCCTGTTTCTGGGGGCCAGGGTGACAGGCAGGCCCAGCTGTCCTAGGAGGCTTCCCACATCTGCCCTCACTGCCAGGTCCCTGGGGCTGAGTGAGGTGGGCCTTCAACACATCCCAGAGCCTTTCATCTCCCTCTTTCCTATTGGATTCCTGCTGTGTGTGTGTGTGTGCAAGCCTGTGTCTGCTTGTGTGTGTCATGCTGTGTGTCCACTGAGGGGGCTGGTGGGGGCACAAAGCAGGCTGGCCAGGCACCCTGGGCGTGAGGCCGCTGACAGGCTCAGTGGCGGCGGCTGACGGCTGCAGGCGGCAGGGAGCTGAGACATCTGTTGCCCACGCGGCTGCCTGCCCGCCGAGGAAAGGCCTCCACACGTCACAGCCGTCACAGCCTCGGCTACAGCAGCAGCAGCAGCAACGGCCTTGTTTGGAGCTGATTGGGGATGCAGGCCCCAGGCAGGCGGGCAGTCTGGGAGAAGGTTTGCCAGGAAGAGCCTCCCTTGTCCCCCAGAGTCACGCGGCAGCAGCTCAGGCCCTAGGAGCCAGGATGGCTGAGGTTGGGTTTGGGTGGGATCTGGGGAGATTTACAGTGCTGGGGAGGCACAGGCCACGGCTTGCCTAGCAGGTACCTCTGGGGCAGGTCTACAGGGACTGAAGATATGTGGGAGTGTCTTCACCAAGGGGGCTCAAGATCCAGCCCCTCCCTTGCTTCCAGGACTTCCCCTACCCAGGACCCAATAGGGAGGGACAGCCTCACGCAGACAGGGAGGAGGCTGTCAGCTTGGCAGGGCTGGGGGCTTGCAATCTCAGCCGATGAAGCCTAGGGGAGTCCCAAGAACATCATCTGGGGCTCCTTCCCCACAACCTATAATGATGGCTGGCCTTGGCCAAGCATCCAGGGTGTGCCAGGCCCCACCCTAATGTGTGTTGTTAACAGCTCCCTCCAGTCCCTGGAATGAGCACCACCTTATGTCCAGCCTCCGGTGGGGGCTTTACAAGCTCTGATTTTCTCAAGTAGTCCTTACAACAGCTTTTAGAAGTAAGGACTCCCTCTGGCCTTACATAGATGGAGACCCAGGCACAGAGAGGCTAATGTAATCGACCCAGAGAAGCAGAGTGGAGACAAGAGGAATCCAGGCAGTCGAGTTTGCTGTGACTGTGTGGGACAATGTGGCACCTGGTTCTGACTTGGACTCCTAGCCCACCACAACATCTAGACTGGGTGGATCAGGGGCTGGGAATGCAGCCATTACCGGTGAGGGGCTGATTCATGCCTTCACCGCCCACCTCACTTCACTGTTCTTGTCTCTGTTCCTTCTTTCTGTTTATCCTGTGCTTAGGAGCTAGAGGGATCGGCCTGAATTCCACTCTGTCCTGTGACTTCCCTGCTTAGAGCCCTCCATGGTTCCCAACCACCCAGGAGAAATGCCAGCTTCCCACCCGGGTGTACAAGACTCTGCAGGATCTGTTCCCTGCCTGTTCTCTGACTTCATCTCTTCCACTCTCCCCTCATTCATGATGCTTAGGCCATACAACCTTCCTTCTACTTTCTCTCCAGATGTGCCATTATACATGCTGGTCCTTCTGCCTGGAACACTATCTCTCCCTCGGATACCCTCTTTTCCCTCACCCCTTTTGGAAGAAAAGTACAGGTGTTAAAAGCGTAGTTTTAAATTTGGAACCGGGTGGCCTGGATTGAAATCTTGATTCAATCTTTTATCAATTAACTATCCTTCTGTACTTCTCTGGACCTCCATTTCCTGATCTAGGAAATGGGCTTGCCTTCAGGATTAATGAGATAATGCATGTAAAGGTGGCTGGGAGAGTCACAATTTCTTGGCCTCACGCCCTCTCTGACCAGAACTCCCCTAGCTCAATAGAGCTGGCAGCATCCCAGCCACCCCTGCTTTCAAGAAACTTCCTCCGCCCACAGAAGCCTGAATGCACCCCTTGTGCTGCCTGAGTCATCCTGCCGCAGTTAGCCGCCCCCTGAAGAAAGACTCCTCTCCAGTGTGGGGACTAAGGCATGGCACCCCTCCCCCAGGCTTCTCTTTCTTCCTCTGTAAAATAGGGATGAGAACAGCCTCTGCCTCACCAGGTGGTTGAGGGCTTGCTGTGAGCTAGTTATGGGTAAAGCATAGAGCCCAGGCCCTGGCACAAGGCAGGTATCCATGAAGGGGAAGAGGCGGAGGAGGGCCTTGAGGGGAGGGTGGGATGGTGCCAAGTGGGTGTCTCCCCCAGGATGACAGGCTTGCACAGGTGCCCGGGCCCTAAAAGTGAACATTCATGATTGCCTGGTTGGCTGAGAGTGTCATGCTTCAGAAGAACGTTTCCTTGAAGCAGCCTACTTCAGGGCAGGTCAGCTTGGGCAGTGCCAACACCAAGCCTCCAGCGAAGGAGCTGCCAGCACCTCAGCTTTGTCCACTCACTACTGAGACCTGGCTGAACTGAGCCTAGCTGGGCTTCCAGGAGTTCCCACCAGTAGGAGCTCCCACCCAAAAGAACGAGGTCACTGGCAGCTTTTGAACCAGCTGGGCACTGGCTGGAGAGGCTGGGTAAGAAATCTATTTCTAAAGGCTATGTTGGGGCCAAGGCAGGGTGAGGGGTGCTCCACTGCCTGGATTTCCCTGGGTTGCTTACTTAGGTATCTCTGCGAGTCTAACTCCACTTCCCATCCTAGCCTTCTTCCGTTGACCAGCATTGTAAGAGCTTCCAAGTGTGAACACTGCTTGACCCCTGAGAGGTCAGTAGTGGCACTGAGGTAGCCTGAGTTCCTGTCCTGCAGGGGAAATAGAGCTGGAATTCTGACCCCCAAGTGCAGGCTGGCAGCTGGAACTGGATGGCCCTGGACTTGCCCAGGGAGGTGATGTTCAGACCTTCCCATTTTAATTACAATGAAGTATTAACATGAACAATGTAGGGGGAAAGGTGGTTATGGGAGCACACAGGGTAGTGAGATCCCAGAGAGGCTCCCAGAGGAAGTGGCGTCTATGGTGAGATCTGAAGGATGAGGATGTGGGAGTCAAAGGAATGTTCCAGGTAGAGGGAACAGCTTTTGCAGAAGTGTGGAGGTGAGTGACATATGGTGCCTCTGAACACCCCATAGACATTCACATGGTCTGGACAGAGTGTGGGTGTGGAGGTGGGGATGAGAGTTGAGATCAAGCAAGTAGGAAGGCAAGATCACTAAGGGTTTGAATGTTAGGCCAAGGGGTTGGTCTGCCTGGGTGGGGCCTTGTCTGTGTAGGGTATCTGTGACACGTCCATGCTCTGTATGTATCTGTGAGCACATATGTCTCCATGTGTCTCTGTGGCCCCTGCATGTCCCTGGGCACACATGCAGGCTGCAAGAAAAACATCCACTTGTCCCAGCCCAGAGGAAGCCCTTCTCGTATATCCTCATGCCCTGCCAAGCCTCCAGGTGCTGGAGTTGGAGGTGTTTCCAGCAAGGCTTCAGCCAGGCTACATGGGGACCTCAACCAGCCTCTCGGCTTGCCCATCCACAGGCCATGCTGGTAGCAGGCCACACTGGCTAGGTTCTGAGGTTGGAGGAGGCCTAGAGTAGAGCTTGCAGCAAGGCCACATCATGACTGTGCCCAGCCATCTGGCTTGTCTACCCGCAGGTCCATGCTGGCAGCAAGGCTGCATTAGCTGCCCTGTGTCCAGGAGACCTGATCCAGGCCATCAATGGTGAGAGCACAGAGCTCATGACACACCTGGAGGCACAGAACCGCATCAAGGGCTGCCACGATCACCTCACACTGTCTGTGAGCAGGTATGCACAGGTGGGCTGGGCTGGGAGGATGGCGGGACGAGGTGGGCAGTTATGGGCAGCCAGCATCTTGGGTGAGCGCAGCTTCACACAGCTCAGCTCCTGGGCACCCCATCCAGGAAGAGTCCCAAGGAGTAATACTTTCATGGGGGCCTGGCAGACACTGTTTAGAGCTGTAGCTTAAGAAGGGAAGAAATTCCCTTTTAACTTAGACTAGAAGTGTGTTGGGGCACTTACGGCAAGTGTTGCAGGCAACTGAAATAGGACCTTGAATAGTCTCTGGGACATTTGTTTCAGTCCTTTCCCCTCCCCTGAGTGACCAGTGTGATGACTGTTTCAAAATAGTTTCTTGTGCAACACCTCATTTAACCCTCATTCACCAACTTAAAAAAGGTAAAACTTAGTGTAGTCCCCACTTCACAGATGAGACAAGTGAGGCTCAGAAAGGTTAGAAGGTGCTTAAAATCACATAGAGAGGGAGTGGGGTAGCAAAATTTGACCTCAGGGCTCTCTCCTAAGACTACAGACCCTTTACTTGGCTGCTGACCACTCCTACCAGCCCCACAGCTGCCCTGCCACAGCCGTCCCCACGGTGGCCCACACTCTGCCCTGGTTAAATACGGATTTGGGAAAAGTTCGTGCTATGGACTGTGTAATGCTGTGCAGCCGATCAAGAAGGGAGGACAGGGGGTTGCCAAGCCCCATCTGCGCCCCATAAATGGTCCTGGGATGGAAGGTCCACTGGGGGTGGGGGTAGGGGGACCCAGCCTTGCTCAGGTCCTGGGTCTTTACTCTGAAAAGCAGTTGGACTAAGCCTGGCTGAGTGGGGTCTCCCCACTCCCCTGCCCACCTCGATCCACAGAAGTCAGGCATAACTTATCAGCTCTGCCATGTTCACTGCTGATGGGGACTTCCATGACCACCTGTGGAAGTGTGTGGGCAAAGCCTCCCCAAACCACAACACAGCTAACCATGCCTCTGAGCTGGCAGAGTGGGAGGTGAGCCATTGGCTTGGAGCCATTAAACATAGTGGAAAGGCCTGTGAGGTCGCCCCTGTTTGTGCTTGGCCCATGGCCAGATCGGGGTTGGGGTCAGGGCCCCTGGCTGTGCCCGCGGCACTGAGTGGGCCCAGCTGCAAGTCCAGGACCTTGTATGCTCTACCTGGCACATGGTGAGGATGCTCCATCTTTGGAGTTCAGCAAAGCTGGTCCTCATCCAGCCTCTGGAGCCTTAGGTGCCCAGATGACCTCTATGAGCCCGGGTTTCCTTTCTCATAAATGGATCACATTCATCACCCTCCTCCAGACTGAGATACAGGCTGGATGGGGGAAATGTCAGCACTGCTCTGCCCATGAGTGGCCTCTGAAGCCTCCCCGGCTTGGCTGGGATCCTGGCCTCTGACTCACCTCCAGCCTTGTCTCTGTGTGACTGAACAAGGGCAGCCCTAGTGGTAGTGGAGTAGTGGGGAGGAGTGCCTCAGAGGGGGCCTGAGTCAGGAGCTTCCCAGAGTGTATGATGTCAGGGGAGGGTGGTGGGGTGGAGGTCCCCCTCCTTCTTTCCTTCCTTCCTTCCCCGGTCCTTTGTTCCAAACCAGGCATGGATGGAGCCAGAGGTCCACTGACCTGTTCCACTCTGGGCATTTCAGCCCCAAAATGTCACTGGCCATGGAGCAGATGAGAGCACATTCTCTACTATTACAGAGCTGGGTTGAGAATTAGGCTGTGCTGACACATAAAGTTACCCATAAAAGAGAGAGAGGGAGAGAGAACTCTGCTGTGCTCCAGCAAGTGATTTAATGTCTCGAGCCCATAACTTCCTCAACCAAAAATAGGGACCATCTTGTGATCTGGACACTGAGTGATGATGATGTACCAGGCCTGCTCAGTCAGAGTGAAAACCTGAGTCCTGCCCTGCAGCCCCCATCTCCAACCTGCACGCATGCAAACTGTGGGGGAATCAAGACATGAGGGCCACCTTGACCCTCTGAGCCAGCATTTCTTCTACTGGACACTTTCCCACCTGCAAGCTTTCTGACTCTGCTCCCTATCTTGCCTGCTATGCCAGGACCTATGCCTGGGCCCAAAAGACACTCCCCCGCCCCCGCGACACACACCCACACAGCAAGGGCTCTGCACAGAATCAGCCTGTTGAGTTGGCTGGAATGAGCTACTCAGTGCTCTCACTCCCACGGTGACCAGCTTCCCTACCTGCCCTCTTGTGTACAGCGAGCTCTAATCCCCCCACAGACTTCCCCATAGAATGAAAAGTGTATCAAAGGCCCAGCTTCCCCAATGGGCTTGTTTTGTTTTGAGCCCAAAGCCAGGTATCCAACAATCCAAGCAAAATCACACTTCCTGGGCATGTTCTATAGGTCCAGGACCTTCCTGACGTCAACTTCAACACTGAGGCCACTGATGGAGTCCCTGTTGTCCATCACATGTGGCCCAAGGTACCTTTGCACAGCCTACTCTTTGCCTGTCATTTTGTTTAAAGAGCCCAGACTGTGATGGGGGTTGACGCACGATTAAGCCTTTCATTCTGATCTGATGCATTGGGCCACATTAATGGCTCTGGGTACTTTGTGCCCTTTGACCCTTAGATGTCAGGCTTTTACTGTTCTTCTGGGCAGAGCTTCAGGGAAGTTTAAGGCCAAATAGCCACACAAGATGTCCCAGCTTTATCCAAGAGAAGCTCTGAGTAGGCAGAGGCCACAGTTAAAGCTGTGAGTTAGGGTAGCCACTTGGGAGCCTGCTTGAGGGGGCTAGAGACAGGGACTATGGGGCTGGTGTTGCCCTGGAGTAGCAGAGCTCTAATACGGAAGGCCTGGAGTAGAGAGGTAGCCTCCAAGGGACTAAGGAATGGGCAGAGGCAAGGAAGTGCAGAGTGAGTGTGGACCATAGGTGTAGACAGATTATTAAAACCCTCAACTGAAGGGGCAGAAGTAGCAGGGGTAAGCTACTATGTCAGTAGTGAGACCTCGAGAAGTCTCAGGAGGCTTCGTTGGGTGAGTTGGAGGACATTATTCCCCTTTGGTCTAACCAGCCTCACTTCACACGCACCCACCAGTCCAGGGTCCATGCCCCTTCCTGGCCTGCCTTCTCACAGGGCTACTGAGTGATAGGGCTGGGCCCTAGGCATGTAGCCTCTTGGCCTGCCTGCCCTGCCTATGGCAGGTTTACGATGTTTTTCTCCCTCCTGAGTGGTGTTTGGCTTTTGGTTTCTATGGCGAAGCAGGAATTTCCTAATGGCCTGTTTCCCATCTGGGCTGGGCAGACTCAGTGATGACTCTGCCGGCGGCAGCAGCAGGAGGAAAGACACACCCCTCGGAGCCTCCATTCCACCTACCCCGGAGCTGATGGACGCCTGACCCCACACCCCCGCAGAGGCATCTACGGATGCCCAGAGGATGAGTGGATAGGCTTCTAGCTGGTCAATGTGTGAGGCCTGACTTGCAGTGCTGTAAGCTGGGCCTCTTTGAACTGAGCTTCTGTAGGCCACGAAGAGGGTAGAAGATTAGGGAAGCCACAGGGCTTGTCCTGCAACCTCTCCAGGAACAGACCAGAGAGGGACTGGGCAGCTGATGGGGACAGAAGCATATAGCCCTGCCCCAGGAGGATGGCAGCTAGAGTTGTGGCTCATTGCCACAACAGTCACCATTGTGGTACAGGGGAAAGCACTGGAGTAGTGTCCTTCTACCTGCAGGGCACAGCCCAGAGCCCAGCCCCTCTTGATCCTGGCTCCCAGGCATGGTGGCCTTGGTAGGAGACATATCTGACCATCACAATTTCTGCCACAGGCCTGAGGGCAGGAGCTGGCCCAGTGCCCCTGATGACAGCAAGGCTCAAGCACACAGGACCCACATCGACCCTGAGATCCAGGTATGTACAGACACTGCCTGGCCTGGCCTGGCTCAGAGTGAGCCCAAGGCAGAGGGGCCAGCATGCAGGTTCACCTGCACTGAGTGTCCTCACTGGGGCTCTCAGATACCCAAGACAAAGACTGAAGCAGAAATTTTCTCTGGACCATGCCCATACCCCATCCCATGTTCCTCAGATGATGAGCACCTGCGTGGCTCTGTCTCTGCTCCAGGCAATCCTGGATTCTGGACCAAGGTGCCTATGATGTCCAGGAGCTGGGCTAGGCCTTGGTTTGCGGCTACCACACAGCCAGCTGGAGTTCACTGTGGTGCCCAGTAATGCCAGACCATTAAGAAGTCACTGTGCTTGTAGCAGGGGAGGTTGGTGGCAGTCTCAGGCTGTGGAGTGACCTCAGGCTATGGGACACTCCTCTGGGTGCCCTATCCAAGCCTGAAGTTCTCTCCTGGTCATCCTGTGGTGCTTCTAGCAGAACTCAGGCTGCAGGCCTGTTTGCCCAGTCACCTTTCTGTATGTGATAAGAGTCATATCTCTGGTCCTGTCCTCAAGAATAGTGAGGGGATCAGGCTGTTCTAGGGCCTTGTTTTACCATGGCATGAGGAGTAGCCAAGTGGGGATGGCTGAGGTATCCAGAGCCATCACTGGGCCACAGAGTTTGGGCAAGGAGACTGGGATGGTCTGTGATGGAGCCAGAACCATGGGACCCAGCATGTGGGACCATTGCCTCCTGAGCCTGCCTTTGTCCACCCTCTCAACATGGAAGAAAAGGGGCCAAGGCAAGGAGAGGCTTCACTGAACCAGAGGGAAGGATGTGCCTCAGCTTCTCCCTCACCATCTACCCCAATCCCATCTTGCTCTATTCCCTACTCTGCCTGGCTGGCATCTCTGAAGCCAGATGCTTACCACCTTCCAGACAGTGCCCATTCTGGCAGGGGAAAGGGACTTAGAAGTTCTGGGCTAGGGGAAGCCAGGGGCCAAAGGAGCCCAGAGTAGTCACATGACTCAGACAAGGAGTCAAAGAGGGCTTCCTGGAGGAAGGGGTATTGAAGCCAAGACCTGAAGGCCTAGGAATGGTAAGGCAGGCAAAGGGGTATAGGGAGAGGAAGTGTGGCCCAGAGGTGAGGTGTTGCACCACAGGTTCAGAGAAAAGAAAGGTCCAGGGGAAGGGAGGGCAAGGTGGGAGGAGTGAGAGGACAGAGGTGAGAGATAAAGTGGTGGGGCAGGACCACAGAAAGGTTCTTGGGCTTCTCTATCCTGGACCTCAGCTGTTCTTACAGGGATCCACGGCCACATCTGTGTCTCAGAAGCTTGCTCTGGTGGCCCTATGGACCCCAGGCCTTAGGGGCAGGGGTACATGTTGGCATAGACAAATAAGCCAGGCTTGCCATGGGCCAGGCAGAGGGGAGCAGCATAGTGCAGGCCCCAAGCTCATGCATGAGGCCCAGCCTCCCTCCGAGGCAGCAGTGCCAGGATGGATATGACGGGGTGGGGAGGGGGTTCAGTCTTCCAGGAGAGGCTCAGGGCCGGTGGGCCTGGGAGGCTGGCGACTGTAGAGCAGCTCCCCCTGCCCCCACACTTATTCTCATTGACTCCCTTGAAGACCAGGCTGCCAGTGGCTCACACTGGAGAAGGAGGGAGTTTCCATAAGCACCAGGGCAGCCCCTCAGCTGCTGCCCCACTTTTGTACTTAAAAGGTCATGGACTCCATGGGTGGTGACAAAAACACTCCCACCCTGCCCCTGCAGGGCTGAGTCCTTGCTAACACAGACACAGGGCCCATTGTCCCCATGCTGCTCCCACCCTCTGCCTGAGTGGGGGTGTTGGGGAGGGGGTGGAGCTAGCTGGAGCCATTGAGGAGGAGAAGGAAACCACAGTTGGCCCTAGGACCAGCACAAGGTGCCCTGGCACACATCCCCGAGTGGGATGGGACAGGGCCAGCTGGAACTTCAGGCCCACTTTCCCTATGGGGTTATAGGAGAACCTCCTTCTCTCAGGCCTCTTGTGGGAACACAGGAGGTACTTGGCCTAGCCCCGGGTGGAGGAAGGATGGTAATAAGTCAGGGTTTTCTGGAGGGAATGGCAATTATGCTGAGAACCAGGTGATAGGGAGAAGCAAGTCAGGTGGAGCAGGCAGTCCTTGCACACTCAGCCTGTCCTCCCCAGGCCAGCAGAGAGCTAGAACTGAGCCTCTAGGAGGTGGCACCTGCTCATCTGGACTCAGCGCCTGCCTCCAAGTTGAGTGTCCTAAAGCAGGTAGTTACCCCCATCCTGCTGAAAAATCCACTGAGGCTTCAACAACCAAGTGGGCAGCAGGCTGGTTCTCAGAGCAGAGGAGCATACGGTACGAGGTGCACCACCCACAGAGGGGGAAAATCCAGGACTGGGGGCCCAGGAATTCCCCTGACAGCCATTCATCCAATGAGTATGTGCTTTGTGCCAGGCACTGTGCAATTGTCTTATTTCATCTCCACAAGGAACCTGATGTGGAAAACATCACATTCCCCAGCTCATAGATAAGGAAACAGGTTCAGAGAGGTGAAGTGACTTGCCCAGTTAGGGGATAACCCTGGGACTCAAAATAAGACTGAGGTAGCCATGTGTGTCCTAACCACAGAGTTCAGGCCTAGAGAGGCAACTGCATGGGTGGCCGTGGGAGGGACAATGGCTCTGTTGCCCTGCAGTGGACCCCTCCACCCTGCTGGGTAGGGGTGAGTGAGGGCCTCCTTCCTCCCAGTCCCAGTCCCTCCAACTCCTCCCTCCCACCAAAACCTCCGCCCAGAGGCCCAGCCCCACCCCCACTGGCCACAGCCCATCTGGTCCCCATTAGAGGCCAGCCCTGCCTGCGTGCCTGCCCGACAGACACATGTGTGAGAGCGCTCAGGTTTCTCAGGGGTTTTTGTTGGGCCTGATGTGAATAAGGGTTTTCCTGTTGCTGCTGCATTGATGGGGGCCACCTGGGCAGTAAGACCCTCCTGTTTGTCTGTTGGGGTGGGGGAAATGGAGGAGGGCCCACCCAACTGCTGGTCTGCTGGTTCCCCAGGTTCCCACCATGCAAAAAGTAGGGGACAGTCAGGGCAGAACCCCGCAGGCTCAACTATGCGTCAGAGCTGCCTAAGTCCAAACCAGGGCTCTTCCCACTACGATAGGCATGTTTTCCTGTCCACACTGCGCTCTGTGTCCACACTGTAGAGCAGAGGAGGTTTACATGTCACTCCCAGGCTGAGGCTGAGACCTACCCCATGGCCTGGACTCAGAAGTCATCCTAAAATCATGCTGCTCTGGCTGCTAGCCCAGTCTCAGCCATGGAGGCCACCATGGCCATTCCCAGGGTGACCAGTGCTGACTCCAAGTCTCTGTAACCATGTGCGTGTGGTTAGTTTTATGTAGGAAGATTGGCAGGTGCATATGTGTTGTCCTTATGCATGTGTGTGTGTCTTTAAAACATACTTGCGAGAGTCTGCATGCCCCTGTTTACATTGCTGTGGGTGTGCTTGTGTGCACTTGCAAGCTGGGAACAGCACAGCTCTGGACTCTGCAGGGACAAAGATCCCCAGTCCCCACTCAGACCCACACACACAGAGATACTGCCCTCTCCTCATGGCTGAGGGGGCAGGTTCAGGACACCCCCCAAAATGTTTCAGCCATGGGCACCAGGCTGGCTGTGGGGTAGTAGGGCAGAGAGCCTTGAGCCCTAGCCTGGTCTCTGCCCTTCATCTGCTGTGCCTGCAGAAGGCTACTCATTGTGGCCTGGAAAGCAGGAAATAGGGGACAGGTGTAGGCCCAGAAGGGGCTGACCTGACAATGGCACTCTTGAGCCTCAGCCTGCCCAAAGGGCCTTGGACACATGACAGTCAAGGACCCTTCCTGGCTGTAGGACAAGAGTTACCTTTTTTAGTTCCCAGCCGTGGGCTCACCCAGTACCCGCCACAGTTCAGGCAGGTGAGAAGGCTTGGCACCAGGGCCACTTCTGCCAGGAGGCCATATACCCTGCTGTAGCCACACTGACCTTAGGCTTCTTGGGATAGGCCTGCCCCAGTACTATCCCTTCATGAGTGGTGGTGGGCAGAACCACTGCAGGGCTCAGAAGCTCAGGCTGAGTCTCAGCTGCTCAGGTTTTTGTGTCTGACTTTCCAAGGACATTTCTCATTTCTGCAGGGGCAGAACCAGTCCCCAGGCCCAGTCCTACCCTAGAAATCCCTTCCCTGACTGAGCACCACGGGCCAGAGGTGCCAGAGCAGAGGTAGCCAGCTGGCATCCACCACCTGGCACAGCACAGCAAGGTGGAGGTGGGGTGAACAAGGAATGGCCAGAGGCCAGAGGGTCTCCCAGTGCCTTAGGCCTCTCTCTCATAGGACGGCAGTCCAATAACCAGCAGGCGGCCCTCAGGCACCGGGACTGGGCCAGAAGATGGCAGACCAAGCCTGGGATCTCCATATGGACAACCCCCTCGCTTTCCAGTCCCTCACAATGGCAGCAGCGAGGCCACCCTGCCAGCCCAGATGAGCACCCTGCATGTGTCTCCACCCCCCAGGTAGCACAGAGATGCCTTCGGTGCCATGCCCAGAGCCCATCTTAACCCTTGATCCCTCAAATCTCACCCAGTCCCATCCTGACCCCTGACACTTGATCCTTGGGTCTCAGCTGGTTGCATTCTGACTCATAAGCCTCACCAGACCTGAGTCCACAGAGTGAAGGCTGGAACTGCATCCCTTCCTCCTCTACTTCTTTCTCCCTCCCAGTGCTGACCCAGCCAGAGGCCTCCCATGGAGCCGGGACTGCAGAGTCGACCTGGGCTCCGAGGTGTACAGGATGCTGCGGGAGCCGGCCGAGTCCGTGGCTGCGGAGCCCAAGCAGTCAGGCTCCTTCCGCTACTTGCAGGGCATGCTAGAGGCCGGCGAGGGTGGTAAGACGCCTGCCACCTGTCCCCACTTGCCTTCCCACTCCCTGCGGTGCCCAGGTTGCCCCCTAGCGACCCCACATCCCTCCTCCCAGTCACTTGCCCTCCTCGGTCTCTGCGGCCCGGTCCCACACCCTTGCTACACCCTTGCTACGCCCTCCTTTCGTGATTCCCACTCCACCCCCTGTCGCTGCCCCTCACCCCACGCCCGCCAAACCCATTCCCCAGTCTCGGTGCCGATGGCCCATCCGGCGCCCAACCAAACACCCCGCAGAAATGGAGTTCTGACCTCCTTACCCCGTTCATACCACCTACGCTCCGGGTTTCAGGGGAGCGGCCCGGGCCTGGCGGACCCCGGAACCTCAAGCCCACGGCCAGCAAGCTGGGCTCTCCGTTGAGCGGCCTGCAGGGGCTGCCCGAGTGCACGCGCTGCGGCCACGGCATTGTGTGAGTACCCGCCCCCGCTGCCCTTCCCAGACCCCAGCCCTCCAGGGCCCTGGATGCGGGCGCAGTCGCGAACCCGTCAGTCACTCGACGCTGTCTTCCCCGCATCAGGGGCACCATCGTCAAGGCGCGGGACAAGCTCTACCATCCCGAGTGCTTCATGTGCAGCGACTGCGGCCTGAACCTCAAGCAGCGTGGTTACTTCTTTCTGGATGAGCGACTTTACTGTGAGAGCCACGCCAAGGCACGCGTGAAGCCGCCCGAGGGCTACGACGTGGTGGCGGTGTACCCCAACGCCAAGGTGGAACTCGTCTGAGCTGGGCCCCTGCTCCCGCCCCTGCTTCTTAAGGTCCCTACTCGGCCGGTGTAAATATGTTTCGCCCTGTCCCTCTAATAAAGTTCCTCTGCTCCACCTTGAACCTGTCACCTGGCCTGCCACCCTGCTGCGTAGGCCATGCATGGCTCCCGAGTGCAGTAGCATATGCTCAGATGCCAGGAATGTCCTAGGCTCTGGGTGCAGTGGTGAGCAGGATGGGTACTATGCTGCCCTGAAGGGGGCCACAGCCTGGATGGAAGGCAGACCTGAATCACAACGGGGCAGCTCTAGTAATACGAACGTGAGGTCTAGGATGCTGCGTGCGGCGCGACGACAGGAGGTATGACCTGGGTGGGGTCAGGGAAGGTGTTAGCTGAGAACTAAGAGATGAGGGAGGCACGAACTCTACACGGGTGAGGGGGGGAACTGTGTGTGCAAAGGTGAGCGGGGGGTGAGAAAGGCCCCTGTGGCCATCATCGACACTAGCGGGGTGGGGGTGGGGGTGCTGGCAGCCTCTGGAGCGATCGCTCCCCTGGAGAGCGTGATTGAGCGTGGAGATCACCTGTGCCGCCGCGGGCGGTCTGCACTTCCTGGCATTCTCTCTTCCAGGTTTCTTTCACCCAGGAGCACTTTATTCTACCCGGAGACCCCCTTTTCTTCCCCTTCCTCTCTCTCCCACCAGGGGGCGCGCTTAAATTTCCAGACGGAGACCAGAAGGAAGGTTTAGAAAGAAAAGAATACTTGCCCAGGGCAGCTTTGCCCTCCAAGAGGCTCCCTCCTGTCTCTAAGTCAATTCCACCCCTCCTTGGAGTCCCGGCTTCCACCCCTTCTCGGAGTCCTGGCGTTTACCGCGTGGTGGGTTTGCCTTGGGCCTTTCATGTCCCGGCTGCACACATCGTCTGTGAATTGTGGCTTGTTCGCTCCCGAGGATGAGTCCTAGACTCCCGGTTGCGTGGATCAACCCTCTAGTTTACTTGCTCGGGAAGAGAAACTGACTCGTTTTATTTAGTGCCTGTTTAGCGAGCCCAGAGTAACGTACATTTGTGCTGTTTTCAATTTTGTGCTATTGCAAACCACAAAAAAACTTACCAATTCACATTCATCATCAGCAGGAGACGTTTCCTTGTGCTCCTGCCAACTCAGGATATTACGTTTCTTTTTTCATTTTTGCCAGTCTGTTAAGTAAAATATCATATGCAGTTGTTTTAATTTGCATTTCTCTGATTACCAGTGATGAGCATTCAGTCTTTGAGCATTTATGGTGTGTTTGCTGGGTGCCTAGCACTAAGGGAACAGAATGGTCCTCACTCTCAAAAGAGCAGTTCTTGTGTAAGTTACCCCAAACCCTTCACAATTTTTTTCCGAGGCTTATTTAACTTCTTCTTAATGATTGGTAGGAACTTTTCCTAATTTTGTACGAATCTTTGTTACTGGATTCTGGTCATCTAATTCCCTGTTCCTGTGTAATTACTACTGTGTTGGAGTTTAATAGCCAATCTGTCCTCCTTGTTGGTCATTTACAAACATGTCAAAGCTATACTTGTACATTTCCAGTTGCCAGAATTTGAGACTGCATGCTTCAGGTTCTGGAAAAGCAAACCTCTTTGAACTGTGACCAGGTTGCCCTGAATCTAGAGACTCACTTGGGAAGAACTGGCATCAGTCTCTTCCTCCAGAGAGGACTGTGATCTGCACTTACTGTGCATTTATTCAGATATCGTGTCTGTGTTCGCTTAAGTTTTTATTTTTCTTTCTTCTCATAGATCTTCTGTTAATGGTTAAATTTGTGCTAGAGATCCCTTCTAAAGGCTCCTTTTGCCTCCTCCGTTCGCTGAAGGAGCACAGTTCAGGGCAATAGGCAGGTGCTGATAGAGCAGTGAGGCAAGGTGGGGTCCTGGTCCTGCAGGTGACCCCAGACCATGTCCGGTCCTTGTCTCTTTTTGCTTCCAAAGGGGTCAGAATGTGTGCGGCGAGGCCCTGAGGGCGCCCCACCGTGGCGCTGCATAGGCGTGCGCACACACACAGTACACACATGCTCCCCGCAGCCATACCCAAATAGGGTGGGGCAGTGGAGGAGTCTGCCCTTGCCTCCCCAACCTGCCTCGGCAGACTTGATCCCAGCCCCACCCGGTCATAAGTGGGAGAGGAGAGGATGACTGGCACCCTGGAAAGTAGGGAAGCATTATTAGGCACAGGAGAGGGTGGAAAAATACCAGGAGCCATGGGCCCCGGCCCCCACCTCTCATTCCCACTCACCAGCAGAAACTCGACTCTCCCACTGGCTACCACAGATCCACTAGCTGCTGGTACTCACCTTAATCCCAGGACACGCAATAACCCCTTTCCCATGCAGGAACTACCCACTCAGAGGCTCCCTGCCACCGTAGGCTACCCCGAGATCAACAGCTCCACCCCTGAAGGGTTGCAGCAACTACAGCAGCCCCTGCCTGGGCATCCTGGTTGGGGGTGGCTTGGAGGGCAGCTAAGGGGAGTGACATTCAAAGCTGACAGCCTCATTTGTCCTTTCCCCAGCTTCAAGGCCCAGCCTCTACCCAGCCCCCCAGCCCACCTCTTCTGCCCAGGGCCCCTGAGTGTAGTAGACCGTGGAAAGTTTGGGACAGGGTCCTCATGGGACAAGGTATGTATGGCCCAGGGTCCCAGTACTGAGACACGGGACATCAGAGCCTCTCTCCAAGAGGGGGAACCAGATCCAGGATCCCAATTTAGAGTGCTCCAGGCTCCAGCCTACCTGGCTAGAACCAACTTTCATTGCTGTCCCCAAACCTGCTACATCCCTCCAACCCCAGGGCCCAGTTCTTTACCTCAGGGGCTTTCAAACCAGAGACACGGATATCATCCTCTACACCCTCACACCAGCCATCACATCCTACCCAGCACTGTGTCTAGGATTTTGCCTCCCAAGCATTTTTAGACCCATTTCAGGGCAGCTGAAGGAATCTCTCACTCCCTTGCTTCAACTCTTCCAGGGCCCTCAGGATGGAGTTCCTGGTCCTCCTCCTAAAATTTAAAACCTCCCTGACCTCAGGGCCCTCAGGATGGAGTTCCTGGTCCTCTGTCTAGCATTTTGAAGCCTCTCTGACCTCGGGGCCCTCAGGGTGGAGTCCCTGGTCCTCCGCCTAGCATTTAAAGCCTCTCTGACCTCAGGCTGCTGACTGCTTTGTCTCATCTCCTCTGCTACAGCAGACAGTCCAGTCCAGCATCTTCTGAGCTAGTTCACCTTTTCATAGCCCTCAGACCTTCTCTCAAGCTCAAAATGCCTTTCTTGTTTTGTCATGGCTCAGCAAACTCGCACTCACTCTTCAAGGCCCAACTCTACTGCCCCCTCCCCTAGAGGAAAGCCTTGGCCCTCCCATCCCTAGGGAGAGTTAATAGTTCCCATCCACATGCCCTCCATCCCATCCCTTCCAGTTTTGCCTGGTGCCTCTGGCACAACCTGTTATCTCCTTGGTCAGACCCTGACTCAGATTTACCTCTGTCCTGCCCAGACTCCACCCAGGCCAGGAACTTGGAGGTAAAGGGGTCCTGGAGAAGCACCCACCCTCACTCAGGCACACAAGCACACACATCCACTCACACATACACTGGGCTTCCCTTCCTCCCACTACCTTTCACCTCACCTCCCACATCAGGTTTCTGCAAGCATCCTGCCTAAGTTCTCAGTGGGAGGTAAGTCTTGGAGCAGGGGTCTTCAATCCCCAGGCCCCAGCCCATGGCCTGCTAGAAATTGGGTTGCACAGCAGGTAAGTGGCTTACAAGTGAGTGACGTTTCATCTGTATTTACAGCCGCTCACCATTGCTTGCATTACTGCCTGAGCTCCACCTCCTGTCAGATCAGCAGTGGCATTAGATTCTCAAATTCTAGGATTCTAGGAGTAGGAATTCTAGGATTCTAGGACTCCAGGAGTATGAACCCTATTGTGAGCTGTACAAGCAAGAGATCTAGGCTGTACATTCCTTATGAGAATCTAATGTCTGATGATCTGTCACTGTCTCCCATCACCCCCAGATGGGACCATCTAGTTGCAGGAAAACAAGCTCAGGGCTTCCTTCACCATACATTATGGTGAGTCGTATAATTATTTTATTATATATTACAATGTAATAATAATAGGAATAAAGTGCACAATAAGTGTAATGTGCTTGAATCATCCTGAAACCATCCCTGCCCTCCATACATGGAAAAATTGTCTTCCACAAAACCGGTCCCTGGTGCCAAAAAGGTTGGGGACTGCTGTCCTGGAGGGCACCTGCTCCCTCCTGCATCCTCAACCTCAACTCACTCAGTCAACTAAATATTTATAAAAGGTCATGCACAGTGGCTCAGGCCTGTAATCTCAGCACTTTGGGAGGCCAAGGTGGGGGGATCACTTGAGGCCAGGAGTTCAAGACCAGCCTGGCCAACATGGCAAAACCCCATCTCTACTAAAAATACAAAAATTACCCCGGTGTGGTGGCATTCACCTGTAGTCCCAGCTGCTCAGGAGGCTGAGGCAGGAGACTTGCTTGAACCCAGGAGGTGGAGGTTGCAGTGAGCCAAGATCATGCCACTGCACTCCACCCTGGGTGACAGAGCAAGACTCTGTCTCAAAAAACAAAAATACCTATTAAGAACCTTCTATATGCCAGGCATTGTGTTCTACACTAGGAACGCATTTTGAATGAACATGTAAAATAACTACAGGCTATAAGCAGTACTATTAAGGAAATAAAAAAGGCATTACAGTAGAGCATAAGGGATTCTCTTCATATATGGAATCTGGAAAGGCCTCACAGATAAGGTAACATTTGGGCAGAGGACTGAGGTGGTAAGATAGCATCTGTGCAGGTATATCGGGGGGGATTACATTCCAGGCAGAGGGCACAGGAAACCCTAAGGCCCTGGGCAAGCAGTGACTGAAGTGGTGTAAGTGAGGTAGCTGGAAGTAGTAGATGAGGTCATCAGAGAGATGTGAGAGAGAGAAGGCTGTGTTGGCCCTTGTGAGCCATTGTTCCATGGATAGCAGGACTATGCAAACCCAAAGACCGAGGGAGCTGAGAAGCCAAAGAAAGAGGTTAACAAATCCAGTTTCTCAGAGAGAAATA